CTACTACTACTACTACTACTACTACTACTACTACTACTACTACTACTACTACTTCTACTACTACTACGTGTTTTTTGTGTGACACTTGGCAAAAGAGTCAATTTTTTAAAAATCAATCCAGGGGAGTGAGAATACCCCCCCTCACCCCCTCCTTTTTACCCCACACCCGAAATAGATTTTTGTTGGTGGTGTCTGGATTTTCACGGATTTTTCGCAAACTTGAATGCTACCTTAGGAAAAAAATCATTAAAAATTTTCTAATTCGTTTAGGAAAAAAAACAACAGACAAACTTTTAGATCTAATGTTTGTGAACACGCGTGCAAAAAACAATCAATTTCCAAGAGCGATAAGTGCGGTATTCATTACGTAAGACATGTCAGTAAAATCCAATATGGGCGCCATATCCATGGAAACGAAACTTTTTCTCAAATTTGATTGCAGATTTTAAGACTCCGTACTATGCTTGTTATATGTGTGAAATTTGGCAAAATTCGGTCCAGTAATAAGCGAGATAGCCTTCAGGTGTAGCCCCCCCCCCTTTTTTTTAAGTGACAAGACCGCTATTTCCCTCGTTAGAATTTGAGAGTTAGGGAGTTTAGGGTTAGTTAGGGATTTTCAAATTGTTCCTTGAGCCTGTTCAATTTTTAAATCCCTCAAAAGTTGTTCTCATGTCAGCTGATGTTTCCTGTTTGACAGGTGTCCGTGGTCTTAGTGACGTGCCAGCATCAGAGGTCCAGATGTCTTAAAAAATGTTTTTCTTAAATTTAAAACGTGTTTCTTTCATCTTATACAGCTGAAAGTTACAGAGATTATTCTTTTGGGTTGTTTTTTTTTTCCACTAATGTGTATTGTTTTCTTCCCAAATGCACAACAAAAAACTGATACTGATATGTTGTTTTTAATTCTTCAGTACACAAAACATGAAAATTCTTGTTGAAAGAGTGCAAAACATGTCCTGGATGGCGTTACGGTAACTTGCCTAATTTTTGCCTAATTTTGTATTTGTCTTCCATAATTTTGCCATCAAAATTTGCATAATTCTGCGGGGACGAATATAAGAAACTTCTTAATCCTTTTTTCGCAAAGTTCATTCTGTTGCAAGTGGTAACGAGATAGTCAAACAGAGTAATGAGGACGTTATGTCATTCACACCACTGAGTACTTGGAGGTAGCGGGGGCGTGACCATACGTCATGCTCCCCCCCCCCCCAACCCCTGCTTGTCCTGGAGACTGATTTGGTAACACAAAACACCAACACAAAATAATTCAATAAACTACATGTAGCTGGCAACACGAATCAGTGAGCATTATTACGACCCTCTTTGACAACTTGCAAGACCGTACAACATCACTCAAACGTTTGTACTGCTTCTTTTCTGGGCTTTTCCAGTAATTTGACATCGTTGCTCGGTCCTCCTTGCAATACAAACACTTTCTTTTCATAAGGGATACCTGATTTGTTTTGGTTCCAAGCCAGGTTTTTATGTCCGGCTCCCGTTTTCTGCTCGGTTTCTCCCCCGTCCTCTTTGGCTTCCTACTTTAACTTCCAGAAAAATAATGTTTCTGGGGGGAATCATGTCGTTTGATTTGCTCAAAGTAGTCCAGTTTCAATTTCATGACGTACTTGAGTAGTGGTGGCGTTTCTATATCTATTCTTTTTGTACTTCTTCATTTTCAATAATTAATTCTTCAAGTTACCTGCCAGCAACACACATTGTACATTTTGACTGCTTAGTGTAAGACTTGGCCGTACGCCATTTGAAAAACAAAACATGATGTATGACGAAGTCTTTTTTTTTTTTTCTGTCCCGAGTCCAGATTTTGGTGCCCATATTTGTTGGTTACGTAAGGATGTATTGACATGGTGCACATTGTTATGTTTTCTAGGAAAACGAAACAAGAGAAAGGGGAATTGTTAAGTCGGTGATGATGATGATGATGATGATGATGATGATGATGATGATGATGATGATGATGACGGTAATGTTAATTGTTATGGTGATCATGATAATTATTATTTACTGTCGCGATGATGATGTTCTGATGTTGGAAATGATGTGCATATTAGTCTTAGAGTTAAGTTTGTTTAGCGCTTACTCTAGATCCCCGCCAGGCTAGGACACAACCCTCATTCCCAACTCCTCGCATAAAGTGACCGAAAATCTGGAAATAATTCCTCAAACTGATAAATCCAGAGAAAGAGGGGGATAGGGAGAGAGAGAGAGAGAGGTAGAGTGAGACACGGAGAGAGAAAGAGACACAAAGATAAAGTCAGAGAGAGAGAGAGAGAGAGAGAGAGAGAGAGAGAGGGAGAGAGAGAGAGATAGTAGTAGTAGTAGTAGTAGTAGTAGTAGTAGTAGTAGTAGTAGTAGTAGTAGCAGTAGTAGCAGTAGCAGTAGCAGTAGCAGTAGCAATAGCAGTAGCAATAGAAATAGCAGTAGCAGAGTAGCAGTTGTAGCAGTAGACAGCTAAATTCTTGACCGACCAAATCAATACCTGAAACAACCAAACAAGCCAAAACCCAAACAATTACATACGGAAGACTAAATCAAACATGACTTGAAGCTGATTCTTTATTTCTGTATAATATTGGAAGGGTATGGCCGGCCCTCAGAGTGTGAGCGGATCACTAAGCGGTGGTGATGTGGCCCACGTAGTGCCTGATCCAGCTCAGATACGCGGAGACTCTGGTGTAGACGCTGGGCAGAGTTCCGCTGCAGGTTTTCTCTCCCCAGGACGTGACCCCGGCCAAGATGCCATGTCCATTTCCACACATCATGGGTCCTCCGCTGTCCCCCATACAGGCGCTAGGAGCCTGGCCGGCATGCCTGTCTGCCTCGTGGACGCAGATGTGAGAGTCCGTGATGGCCTGGCCTGCCCAGAGGTTGTTGCACCGATCATTGGGGATTTTGGTGATCTTCACCTCTTTCAGGGTCTCGGCGTCTTGGGGGTTGGAACCAGTTCTGATCGCACCCCAGCCGGCCAGCACGCATTGTGTGTAGGCGAAGGAGGAGCCACTGGGAGCTAGACGAGCGAGCTGTATGTTTTTGTTGAGAGTCGCGTCTTTCGTCAGGTAAATCAGGGCGATGTCGTTGGGGATTCCAGACCCCGTGGCCCTGTAATGCGAATGTTTGGTGTAGTTTGCGACTTTGATGGTTTCTTCGTATTGGTTTGGACTCTCATACAGATTTAGAGCGCCAAGTTCTATCCGCATATCGCTGGTGACAAGACCATCCACGCAATGAGCAGCGGTGAGCACCCACCTCCTGTGGATGAGTGATCCTCCGCAGATATGTTTCCAGCCTGAAGAAGGCCATTGTCGGACATAATATTGCAGAGAGGCTATGTAGGGGTGAGAGTACAGAGCTGCTGGGTTTCCGTTGATGATTCTCTTCTCTGACATGGCTGATGCCGCTAGGCACAGCAAGATGACCGCAAGTACCTTCATGACGTCACTCACACTTGGACACAGAAGTGGCTGGCTGTTGGACTGTTGTACTGGTGTGGTCACTGCAGCTTGTAGGCAGAGGATATCTCAACAGAACCCTGTCCTTCTCTTATATAGAGCCCGCCCTGTTGTCTGAAACATGTAGGCGAGGCCAGTGTCTGTCAACGTGTGTTTTATATGACACATCATAAACAGCTCTCACCTGCCAGCAATAATGAATTTATGAACCCCACGCCCAAAAGAAAGACACTTTTAGCAGTATTTTTAGGGCAATTTTTTCAAGGCACGTTCTGTACATTCATCAAAATAGTGAAATCCAAGAAAACGACTTTTTCACATAGGTTGAGCAATATAATACAGATGTTATTTTTTTTTTTAATTGGGGGAGGGGGACTTTTTATGTCCCTTAAAGAATACATTTCCCTGTAGAATTTTACTTAAAAGCTTTGATCAATTCAAAGTAAAAAAAAAATAATGTAAATTTTCATCATTTTAAAAGGATACTCTAGGTTTGGAAGTCCAAATCCTTAGTGGCCATTTTATCGTTAATTTTAACACCAAGCGACCCCTGCCTCTTTCAATTGCAAATATGTATCTCCACTTATATTCAGGATATGAAGGCATTTTTAATCCAAAGTTAAGCAAAAATACAACGTTTAAGACAAACAACAATAATTCAATCGGCTAAAAAATTGTCGAGCGTATGATTCCACCTTGTCGTGACTCAATTTATGTTTACAAGAGCTATAAAGACCAGCCCGAAACTTGATGTTTACATCCCGATATTTCTGAACACGGTCAAGTGTGAAAAAAACGTCGTACCATTAATGATAATTCACACTGACTTAAGGACTTGACTGCGACGCTTTCGTGCTGTGAAGGAGCCTATGTGCTCAGAGAAACTGCAGTGGAGAACCCTTGAAAACTTTATGACTTGGGACGCGACATGTGGACTGTGGGGTATACGTGCTGTAGTCATGAATAACGTCTTGTTGTTTCTTTGGTTGACACCACGACGTTTTCTTCCAAACTGTAGTGTTGCTATTCTAATTATAAAATAACAATATTAATTATTGGTTTATAGAGACAACAACCACCCACGTCCACGTTCTGTTTCTGCAAAAGTTGCTCTAGGAGCAGACCATAAATAATGACGTAGGCTATTTATAGAGGCACCTGTCAGCCGTGCCCAGTGCTGTTTTAGCTAAATCCATTTGTTCCTCGGAACATTGACATCAAGCATAATGATTTCAGGCCCAAAGGAAACATTTTTCAATTGCTTTGAGAATAACTCTATGATGTCGGAATTTGGAGATAATAGTACAAGATATTAGTTTTTCAGACAGTCGTTTAAAAAAATAATAATATGTTCATATTTTAAGAACAGGAAATCGTATAAAAACAAAGAGAGTGCGTCCGAAATCGGAATAATAATGGCTGCCTCAAGACAAGCGGCCGTATGAAGTACAAAAAACCCCCAGTAACATTAGTTAAAAAAAAAAAAGAAAAAAAAAAGGCAGTTGAACTGAAGGTTGAAAAAAACAAACCAGTCGACTACTGCTGAAACCTAGTAAACAGAAGAACGTAAAGAAGAAGAGACCAACAATAGTTTGAGTAAAAGAAACACATAAACTAACTCAGCAACAGTTATTTATTCATGCTGGGAAATAGCAAAAAAGATAAACAAAATCAACAAGGGGAGGAGAGGGGGGGGGGTGGACAGAAAAAAGACTCGTGGTTTAGTGGTACTGTGTTAGTCTCTCATTCAAAGGGTACCAGGTTCAAAACCCGACAGCGTATTTCATTTACTTCTCTTTAAAAAATTTCTCCTTTCACATTTCCTGTTCTCTAATCCTGGTCAACCGTCTGCTTTCGTCTCCACGTCCCACCCCCTTCCTCTTCCTCCGGGCCTCTGACTCTTTCTGCTGCTACTCCTTGGCTCCTTCTTACTAGTCCATCAGCCACATCCCTGATCTTAGGGTAGGTTAGATCTAAATTCTAGCCTTTACAGATAAAAGCAAAAAAGTCTCGGAGGACCTGTGTGCAAGTTGCGCACGTTAAAAATCCCTTATGGGGATCCTAAAATCAATAACAGTAAGCTTCAGCCGCCCCCTGGGCAACATTTCAAAATTGATTTCGGCCAAACTGAAAAATGTTTAATCTGTCCCGCAGACTCAAATCACATTGAAGACCTTTTGCAGTTACGAGCGCCGTAAAACATTTACCAAAACAAAAACAAAAACAAAAGCTCTTTCCTAGACTGAGGGGATGGAAATCAATATATTACGTAGTTTGTCAGGGGTGGGCAACCTTTACTGGCAACTAGTCCATATCAGAGCCCAGAGAAGGCCGGCTAAACCGAAGAAAAAAACAAACTCATAGGTTACATAGACAAGATTTTTAATTATTTCAAAATAGTGCATGCAAAGACAAATCACAATGGATGATGGCAAGAATGATCGACTTCTGTTTCTTACTTTGTTACAGATCAGAAGCCTGGTCTTTTACTTCTGACTGATATTTTTATTTGAGGGGACAAGGGATGTTTATTGTTCACAAAGATGGAATTAATTTTTCTAGTGCAAACTATAATATTATGTATTAATTCATGGAAGTAGGGGAATGTAGATGTTGAAATTTCGCGTGCTTTCTGTAATAATCGATTCTTTTTTTTTTTTACGTTATCATGTTGTCTTGTGCTCTTGGCCTGCCCATGCTGTTGTGGTATAAAGAAATTGATTTGAGCTTACTTTCATTGGTTGAATGATAAAATATGGACATAAATGATTTATCAACTTTAAAATAAACAAAATGTATCGGAGCTTTTTCAGAAAAAATATGCAGGAGAGAAGTTTGGACATGCCAGTCGTGTTTGTTGTCGTCTATTGTAATACCCAAATACATAATATTATAATATGACACTTGTTCGATGATTTCATTAATTTCGATTTCGAGTGGCTGCACTGCAATTGGATCTAGATCTAATTTCATATTTTCTGAAGTCAACAACAAGTTCTTTGGGTTTGTTTGTTTGTTGTTTTGTTGTTTAGGGGGGTGGTTATTTTTGTTTTTATAATTCTGATATAGAATCTAGTAAAACAAATACAGTAATCTATAATTTTCAAAGTTTGACTCTGAAACGGTTATAGCCTGCATCTCTATCTCTATATATTATATTTGTGAAAGTCCGTCACTTTGGCCGCTTATAACTTCCGAACCACTTCACATTCGAATTTGACAAAATTAATGGTGGTTCAGAATCATTTAAAGGGTGCACAGTTTTATTAAGGAGCTTGAAGTCACGGTAGTTTAATTTTCAGTTTTTCATTCGTTTCGTTATTATCTATTCTTGGGAAAGTCCGTCTTCTAAAACGTCATTGTAAACAAGTCAGGTTTTCGTTTACTAGTCTTGCGCACAGGTTCCACATCTTTGAAATTCTGGAGTGTACAACTACGAAAGCGGAACAGAGAATCCATCTATAAATCTATTATCTATTTGCAACTTTGAAACACATGTGTCACTTTTCCCCATAAAACTACGACAGCTGCAAAGTTGAAAGTTGGTAAGTACCTGCTATCGGAGTCCGATTTTTAATTTTACGATTTCCTTAATTAATTTAGAACAAACTGTATCTGACAAAAAGTTCCCGTCCTTCTTTGTTTTTTGTGATTATTCCACTGAGAAAGGAAAGAAATCTGCGCAGCTGTCCTTCACAGCGGACTTAAGTGCCAGAAGTGATATTTCGCGAAGCGCATTTTATTTTGAGAGTATATATCTAGACCTTCTAATTTTTAAGATCTCTCAAGATTTATTGCTCCATTCCAGTACAGTGTAAAAATATAGTAGACCAATGACTTTCAGTTGATGTTAATGCACCGATCATTCCTTTCATCGAAACGGGGCCCAGCTAGGATATTACAATATTATAATAAGTGTGACAGTTGGTCACTTTGGAATCCTAAAACTTCCGAACGACTTAACTTTCGAATTTGACAAAATTAACGGTGGTTCAGAATCATTTAAAGGGAGCACAGTTTCATTGAGGAGCCTGTAGTCACTGCAGTTTAGTTTTCAGTTTTTCATTAGTTTCGTTTAGATTTTAGATCTATTCTTGGGAAAGTCCGTCTTCTAAAACGTCATTGTAAACAAGTCAGGTTTTCGTTCACTAGTTTTGCGCACTGTTTGTGGCCACATCTTTGAAATTCTGGAGTGTACAACCACGGAAGCGGAATAGAAAATAAATCTATCAATCTATTATATATTTGGCAACTTGGAAATGTACGTGTGTCACTTTTCTCTCAAGATTTATTTCTCCATTCCAGTAGAGTGTAATATAGTAGGCCAATGATTTTCAGTTGATGTTAATGCACCGATCACTCCCTTCATCGAAAGGGGGCCCAGCTAGTTATAGGTCTACTATAATGTTGCACTTACTCGGGCAAAACACGCTACGCAGCCTGGGATAGGCACACGCATGCAGCTGCACAGACACACCCCCACAGTGTCAGGCACGCGCGCGCACACACACATACACACACACACACACACACAAACACACACACACACACACACATACACACACAAACCCATGCACGCACACGTACACATACACACACATACAAACT